GATAGATAGATGTTTTCGCTTCGAATAAACCACTCCTCTGCTGGTCTTCTAAATGAACGATCCCCGCCTCTAATCCGGTTTCACGCGTTTATATTTACCGGTTTCGAGCTAGCGTTGTTGGCTTTAGCGTGGAAGGTGATGATTCTATTATTAGTACGGATACAGGCGGCGATTAGGATTCACCGCGTTCGCGTAACCGTCGAAGAATCGACTGGTGTGCTCTTCCCCTCGAACGGGGATCGGCTGTTACATCGATAAAATACCCTCGGCTCTCGTAAACCGTAACATTTCCTTCGGCTTGCAACCCTGCGGGCTCGGAACAGCGTATGAACCGTAAATTATCCTCGGTTGGACGTTGTCCAATCGTCGGTGTGCGGCACGCGATCACGCTCTCCTCTCCTACTCCACGTGTTACTCTCGCTTCTCCTACGCCGAACGCGTAGAAATCGCGATTTTTTCCCAAGCGACACGTTCCTCGAGACGCAATAAAAGAAGAGCCGCGCAGAGGTGTTGTCCGTGAACCAAACCGTGGGAGAAGCGTTCCATGTTTACCGCATAATTCAACAGATATTAGGTAATAGCCGTGTGAACTATGCCGGGACGACACATGGCGAGCAGTGGGCGACGCTTGATGAATTTCTTCGCCTCTCTCTGCGCACAGGAAATCCCACCAAGTGTGCCAGAGCCACTCTTACTAAACACGTTGCTTTCAAGCTCGACGAATTACGGACCGGTTTGTTCTTCCATCGTGTACAGCCGTGCAACCGATGAAATTGTTATTTTTAGCGTACCGTCCCGTCATTTCGGAGCGTTCCGAGTTCGCGCTACTCCGCCGATTATGCATCGCGATTTTCCCCGCTCGAGATCGTTACACCGGTCCCTGGGGCCGATTAGCTTTCGACGAGTGTGTAACGAGCAATTTATAAATCATCCCGATTTTCGCCGGAGAACGAGCACGCCGTGGGAGGGATCGGATTAATTTCGCTCCACGATTCCGGGGAATTTATGATATTTATTCATTAACACGTCGCTCGTTATCCGTCACCGGAGAATTCATGATTTTCGGTTATTATGGGGGAAATGATGTATCGCGGAAATCTGAACGGGATAAATGTTCAATTTTGTGAAATATGGGAGAGTTGTTGAAGGGTTTAGAGGGTTAAATCACTGCTGAGAGATGGAAATGATACTTAACTTGGCATTTTTTTTTTAAGGAAATAAAGGACGCAATGGAACATTTTTTATAGGGGACTTATTATGTTACTCTTGGAGAATGTAAAAGTATTTTTTCGTTTAATTTGTTTGCAAAATGGCGGCGACACGGCCGAACCTCCCCGAGTACACCACCCTCGGGCGTCTAAAAATAGGTAAAGTTTGGGAATTTTTTTCGTAGGTAACTACCAAATGGAAAGTTTCCACTTTTTCCCAGGATATAAACGCAACTTTCAGCTGTCCTCTCGAATTTTTAAAAAGTAAAAATGTTACAGAATGGAAAAGTTCTCCGCTAATTAGGAGACCTCTTATTTAATTTTTTACAAATGTCCAAAACTAAGTTTTCTGGGTAAAAAGAGATCATTTCTACAATAATTACAATTTTTATACACCTCAGGATAGTGTATCCCCTTCGACACAAAATTTAGAGTCTGTAATTATTCTCACAATGTTGAAAAAGACGATGTTTGACAGAATTCGCGGGGCTGACTAATTGCTGCGAACGATGTAAGACGAATTGCCCGGATCCTTTCGTATCGATGAATGGCGCGCGGCAGAAAAGGAGCACCGGCGACCGGATTTCGCCAATTCCATCGTCAAACGCGCCTAACAACCGGAGAATCGTTGCTAATTGCGAGGATCGAATGAGACGATTTAACCCGCGGTTCATACCAGTTCATACTGGTTGACAGCTTATTAATTTCCCTTCGTGTACGACCGTTAACTCGATTCTTTCATTAACAGATCTCTCGTGCCCGCGCGAAAATCGCTGCAACGATCGTTCCGCGTTCATTTCACGTTTCGTTTAGACCGACACGTGTACTTAAGACCCCGTTGAAACGCAATAGTAAGACGATTCTAGAGAAGAAGCATACGGAAAAAAAAAAACGCGCATTACACACGGTGATTCATGAAAAGTGACCGGGGTACGATTATTTCTAGAATTTGAGATCACTTGGAAGGAATGCTCGTGCGAAAAAAAAAAAGCGTTTCAACCCGAAGGTGGGAGGATGTTCTCTGCTCGGTAATATATTTTAGAATTTAAAAGAAACAGCTGCTTTTTAACCCTTTCCGTATCCGACGCTCTCACAACTGAAACTGCAACCCAACTCGCGTCCTCCTATCGAATAAACGAAAACTGGATAGACAAAGATGATTTTAACGCGAGTTCGTCGACCTTCCTCTCAATGAAACGTTCCTCACGCTCGTAAATACCACGCGTGTTATCTCATTTTTACAATAGGCGTCGTCTAAGAAACCCGGTGAATCTTCCGTATCATTTTCTAAACGCCGGCGAAATCTCGAAAGGTAGTCTCCGTCGGAAGTGCGCAATTTGTCAGACACCGAGCCGGGAAAAACGTGGACCGGTTAATCGGCGCCCAGAGCTTTTTAACTGAAACGAGAAAGGGCACCGCGTGTCGGCGTGGATGAAATTCGGCCGTAATATAAATACGCATGGACAGAGAGAGAGAGAGAGAGAGAGAGAGTGGAGGCGTCGTAGTTGGTTGGATGAATGGGCGTACCTGGTTGGAGCACGTGTCGCCGCCTCGTAGAGAGAGAATCGGCCGCTTGCTGTCTGTCGTTCTCCTCTTCGACGTGTGTTTACTCCGTGGCCCGTGAACGTGGCCGCGACCAGCACAGCGAGACGACACTTAAAGCCGCGTACATACTATCCTAACGATGTACAGACTAAAAATATATCGTTATGCCATACAATTCCCGCGACGCTAAAATTGGAAAGGCCAGCCACCAACCCACCAAGACAAATTGTAACGTTTCGAGCTACCGTTTTCCGTTTGTATTCCCGTTAATTGCCCGTCCGCCTCCAACTTCGTCGTTTCTTCGATAGAGGAAGATCGTCGAAGGATGGAGATTTTGTTGCCTTTTTTCCCGGAGAGCCGAAAACGGAGACGACGAGACGCTGAGAGTCGCTGCGTACCGTTTTACAAATAGGTTTGCATCTCCGCCGTACGGAGAATGCGGTTTTCCTTGAACCTTGCGCCGCGATAGCCGCGCTCTCGTCCGCTTCTGCACCAGCCAGTGTGTTATAATTAATAATTTGCCGCGCGTGCTGCGACCAGCGACGGAGTTGATCGCTCACGATGGCGTTCGATGCGATTACCGTTGATCCACGTCGCCGTTAATCGACCTGCAGATCGTGCTCTTCTGCGATCGAACAAATTTACAATTTTATCGTCTAATTTTTATCGATGTTTCTTAAAGTACGCCCGATTGTTTCGATCGGTCAAAGTTAGTACCGAGAGCGTTCTCCGAAATGGAGACCAGCGCGGCTGCAAGGAAACGCGTGCTGGCGAGCGCGGCCGATGACTCGCGTTGTTTCCGGGATACCTGCGGCGTGGCGATCTAAATTCTAAATTAGGGTCAGGCGGAATCCCGGGGAGAGGGCCAAAGTTGAAAGCGTGGTTTCGCGCGGACCGGGAATATAAAAGCGAGACCAACGGCTATTAGAAGCGACTCTCGCGGCGATTTCTCGTACACGTTCACGGTCGCATCGTTTTTATCTCGCTGCACTATAAACCGACGCTTCCCCCTCTATCTCTGTCTGACCGTAGCGTCGACGCTCGTCCAAAGACGCCTTGACGACGACGACGAGAAGAAGAGGCTAAATATCGAAGGATATTTTAATTATAGTATCGTCATCGATTGTCACGCCTACCCACAGCCGGCCTCCTATTTCAAATGTACATATCCACCTCTCCTCCTCTTCACTCCACTTTCGTCCGTCCTCGCCTCTTCATCATTCTGGAAGATCGAAAATTAACACCGCCTGTTTACACGGATCTCACGTTCGCGACGGGACCATCGCGGGTATTCGAGCATTATCCAATACACACCGCGATGATAATGAGAACAGCCATTACCGCGAGTTGTCGCATTAATCGCTGATTATTTTCTCGACGCCAGCGAACAGGCACGAAAACTGCTTTTTCTCTCTCTTTCTCTCTTTCTGCCAATCACCAGGTATTTATACGTTAGCCAGGTAACGGAGAGCCTCGGGACTCACCAGGCTCGTGTGAAATGTGGGAATTCCAGCGCGAGTTTGGTATGGAGAAAACATTGTCTACAGGTTGTTTCACGCGGGTTTCTCTTGGGAAATGTAGGATTCCAGGTCGTTTGTTATTTTTACTGTCGGTTCGACGTTCTTCTATCCTTGATCTGTAGGGGAGGAGTTTCGGTTTCAGGATTGTTAAGGTCCAAGAAGGCTATCTGCGTAGATTTATCTTGGACAGAGGCCTGACGAATCTTTGTTCCGATCGAACGCCTGCATTCGGTCTTTTTACGTCGCTGCGGACCGGTCGTAAAGCGGACGAGGCATTTTATGGAGCGAGATTTGTGAGAATTCCTCTTGAATGATTCCCCTTCGATAGAAAATCTCTTAACGGGGGATTTTGGTTTTCAAAGCTACCTTTTAAGCAATTTTTAGGATTTTTTTTTTTTGAAAGAACTGTTTAACTTTTTGGGTTAAGGTTTTGCATATAAATTTATGGGTATTTGAAGTATAAACAATCAAAGTTACGTGAGTTATGGTTTGTTTTATAGAGTGTGCTTTACAAAAAGTGTTTTGATCGCTTACACGATTCCGGGCCTTCTGCTGATCTGAAGTAAAAAAACGAGGAAGAATCTTAATCGGTATAAATCTAGCTACGGTCTGAACGAAAATGAAATAAAAATATCGATTATTCACGAAATGGCAGCATTTTCAATTTAGATTATCGATTTTTTTTTTCACATTTGGCCGTCGTTAGGGTGTTAAAAGAATGAGAAAAATGTACGGTCACGCGATACCAGGACGTGTGCTGAAGGTTCTCTACAAATTTCAAGTCAATCGATACACTAGAACTCGAGATATCCCGTAAACCGTTTGGAAAAACGCGTTTAAAGATTCATCTACCGTCTTCTAGAACACTTACACCCCAAAAAAATTAATTTTCAAAAGTGCAAAACCAGAATGCCCACTTAAGATAATTCTACTCGTGTCGCTTGATGCGAGCGAAGATATCGCAGTTTCATTTCTTCGCGAATGCTAATGAAAACGAGAATGTTATTATAGATCGAGTGTGTTTATGAATAAACGTAACCTTACGTGCACGGGACTTGTTTGTCGTTTTGTTTTTTCCATCGTAAAAACCAGTTCTAAGAACGAACTTGAACGGTTTGCGCAGACGGCGCTGAGCAACCTGGAGGAGATGCAGCACAATTCCATGGTGTACCGCAACAACGAGAGAGGCAGAAGCATGGGGGTTGGACCGATGAGGTCTCGACCGATGGAGAAGAGGCACGACACGTCGCCGTACAGCGGAGTTCCGTATCTATCGCCACCACCACCTGACACATGGAGGAGAACCAATTCCGATTCTGCTCTACATCAGAGCGCTAACGAAGCCTGCCAGTCGACCACCACCATCCCCCATCGACGAGGTACAGTCACTTTCTTTAACCCTTTGCGCTCCCGATTTCTTTACATTCTCTTTCCAATAGTTCTGTGTTGTTTGAAATGTACTCGAAAGGATAGTTGGTTGATAGGAAGCGTTGCTTATTCTAAGCGAAGAGAAAGAAAAATATTGCGAAATATAACAGGTACTCTTCGTTCGAAATAGGAATAACCTCGCTTCGCGCACGGGACGCGCCTAAGGCAGGGCTAGAACGTCCGTACCGCCTACGTTTTTCTCCGTCTTACCCTCTGCTGCGCTCTCTGTCTACGCGCAGAACGGACGAGAGTCGGTCCGAGAGCGAGGTTACTCTTATTTTGAACGAAGTGTAGGTACACATTTAAACTGGCAATTTAAAAATGTCGAGTGCGACTTGATATAGGAGTGCAAAGGGTTAACGTTCTTTCTCCTTTTTTTCACTGTTGCGATCTTAGGATCGCAAGGAAGCATCCGTTTGGCGGATTATTGCAATAAAACGTGTTACTCATATTTGGCCGCCAGACCGGGGTTGCGAACGGTCATTCGACCGCCACGGATCCACCTTGGATTATAGTCAGCGCCGCGATTAACCCCTTGATTTCTTTTCCTGACTATCCGGCTAAGCGTCAGTTATTTACTGTTTTAGTACTACATCAAGTAAGAAAAGCTGATGTATTATTGGATGAAAATTGGAATTGAGATTAATTTTTGTTTACGACGTAACTGTTTTTATCTGATCTTGACCAAAATCTGTAGCACATATCAGTGGCATCAGCCATAAAACCTAGCTTTACCGGGGATCGAATTTGTCTCGCAAAAACACCAATTAGAACACATCATATTTTCCACTTCTACGCTACAACAACCAATCAGCAACCACCTACTGCCTATATATTCATCAACACCGTAGTATTCATATATATATACACCTATATATTCAATAACACCAGCATAGTACAGCAGTGCACACATAAGCGTCCGCAGTCGGGACCGAATGCGGACGCTTAAGTGGGGAGGTGACTTCTGCGAATTTAACTAAACAAAAGAAAGGAGATGTGTCTAAGTGGGATACCGATATATCAAGTGTCAGTTGTTCACATTCAGGAGTCGATATGGAACACTTTGTTTCACTCGGCACGCTCGAACTCCACTCCGATGTCCCATTTTCAAGAATTGGTGGGGATACTGTACCCACGAAACACAGCAACGCGACTAGTAACACCGAAACCGTTGCACGTATCGCGCCGTTCACAAATTCAACAGTCGAACAGCAACACAGTCACATTCAAACAAGCATTCGTTCATTCATTCGTACTCCATCAATCGAGCGTCAACGTCTCATTTTGCAGTGTAAATAAAATCAAAATCCACAATCTCAACTTGGAACAGGCTTCGTCGACAGTAAACCGTCGCACGAGCCAACCGGTGAATAAGTACTGCAGTATCGGGGCCTCCGTACCCAAATAGGAAACCAACAAGGGAAAATAGAGAGGGAGCAGTTGGCGTAGCGCGCAGAGCCTCCGCTTGCCAAGCCGAAGGTCCCGAGTTCGATTCCCGTTGGGTCCCTAAAAATTTTTCCTCGGTTTTTACAGTACGATAGTTTTACTTTCGTACTTTCCACTTCCACGCTATAACAACCTACCATCTACATATTCGTCAACCGATGAATAAGTGCGAAATTAAAACTATATCCTACTTTGCTGGTACTACATACTTTTCCACTTTCCACGCTACATTTTATCACAGTCTATACATTCGTCAGCACCACAGTAACACTAGAATAGTACCACGAAACGTAGCAACGCCTAGTAGCCACTCTGAATCACCGTAAACATATTCGACATTCACAACTCCAACAGTCGAGTATCGACGCATTCACTTTCGTGGAATCTGAGCTTCCATATCCGTCAAATTATAGCAACAACGGCGAGGAAATAAAGAGAATGCCTTTAGCTCGTGTCGTTTGGTTCCTCAAATTTTTCCTCAGGGCTCTTACGCTGCAATTTATCCTTAGTGGAAGTTGTACGACGAACAGCGTTTACTATTGACGAGATTTTCCTCGAAAACGGAATATTCCCTGGTGTTAACCTTTCCGTCCGTGTCGTGCAATAAATCGTCGGCAGGTTCGAGTTGCTTCGGAGAAGTGCGACATCGAACTGAACTTCGTCTGTACACGTTTCTGCGTTTCTCAGCCGGGATTGCGTAAGATCTGGTGCTTCTTGTAAATTGATAGGTTGCGAGAGATTAACCCTTTGACTACGGACGCTGTTCTACGGCGCGTTTACGAAGGGTTGCGAAGAAGTTGGTGGAATTGGAGTTGGAAACGTTGAGAACTGTTTGTGATATACACTCGATTCTCTTTTTATGCGTGTCTTCTTTTTAACGCGGTTTTTAAGTTACGCGGTGCGCATGTTTCATGGAAATTCGCGACTCGAATGAATTTCATTCGAACGCGCAGAGTGTCGTTGCGCTTCCGCGAAATCAACGCCGCAAGGTCGATATGAGCTGGTGAAAATACACCGAGTATCGAGCTACTCTGTGTCCTTTTTTCTGTGATTTTCTGTGGAGCGTAATCTACCGCGTGAAAAGAGGCTCGACTGTGTTTGAAACGTTTCGAAAGCACAGCTTCGGAGATAATTATCGCGAGTCATGTGATTGGAGGGGTAGAAAGAAATCTGACACATTTTCGGGAGTTTATTGTGTCATTGCTGTTTTGGTGGGGAAGGAGTTGCTGTGACCCTTAGTTATAGGGTGAGTAATTGCAAGTAAGAGTCCTCTAGGCTTACATTGGAATTTACATTCACAAGGGAACATCTCCAAGTGATAATCACCGATGTTAATGAAACTTTGGTGCATAGTAACACTAAAAAAAATATTTGACACATTTTTTTACCGACAGTAGTCCGCATTAATGAAGTGAAAATTGCCCTCAAAGATATGAGTATTAAACGTATTAGGTCTATCTAAAAAAATTATTTATTACCTTTTATTTTTCAAATTTGTCGTTGAAAAATACAAAATTCGTCAATTCACGCTATTCGTCTGTCTCGAATAAGTTTCAAGGTAGACTAAATATATTTACCGCCTTCAATTTCGAGAGCGATTTTCGCCCTTCCACTATGATCGATTGCCGATATAAAAAAGCACGCGTAGAATATTTTTCCGAGATCAGTCACACACGAAAATTTCATCAAAATCGCAGATTATCACATCGCGATGTTTCCCTGTTAGCGTGAAAACAAGTATGACTAATTTGTTTTGGATGCAGCAGCTCGATCGCGTTCACCAGTGAATCGACAGATTACTCATCTAATAAGACCTCTCAAGTTAAGACGAAGTAGCATCAACAACTTTGTATCGTTTTAATACACTTCTACATGAAAAAGCTCTCGAAACGCTTGGCTGGCCAGCGAGCTTCAGCGTCTCGAGACAAATCTATGAAAATAAGGACGTAAGTCATCGTCGCTAATTAAACCTAAGTGGATCTGCCCACTGATCCGCGGTGTCGCGATTCCTCCACGTTCTCCTCTCGATTCTCGCGACATTTTCCTTTTCTCTCCCTCGCTCTCTCTCTCTCTCTCTCCCCCCCCTTTTTGTTCGGCTGTTATTCTCCTGAAAACGCGCTTTCTTCCATGCGGTACAATGCGTTGCTAATGGGGCCGCGCTCGAAAGTGTGCCGTGGAAAAAGCTAGCGCCAATCAGACGGTCGCTTGTTAACCCGTCGCGTCGCGGCGTTCAATTGTGTCGCGAAATGTTTTTATCGCGACTGGAAAAACTCGTGTCATCCAGACGAACGGTCGATCCTCCGAAATATTCCATCCTCTGTCCTCTGCAATTTTTCAAATTCCTCCGATCCACACGAATCTCTCCCCCCCCTTTTTCTTCCTTCTCCATCGTCGACGCCGCGTCGAAACCCTCGAAAGCCTCTCCCGAAGGTTCAGGGCTCGTTTTTTCCACCGAGATTACCCTCGAGCCGGGCCGTAACGACGGTGTTAATAAAATTGGACTGTTCACGCGAAGCGTGGCTAATCTAGAACGTAATCTTACGACCGTTAAATCCGTCCCCGCGTCGTTTCTGGGATCCGTCCGGTCTGGGGAAAATCTGGACCCCTGAATTCGTGGTCCGTGCAACGAAACGCGGGTTTTCTTCGGCTGTTCGCGTGAATTATTTTTACGTCACAGGCCGTCTGGGGGAATTACGAACGCCTGAGGAAAAAATTGAATAAAACGAGATATTACGAAGGTGGTAACTTTTTTGTCGTTTGTATAGAAAGATGTATATTTTTATAACGAACTTTAAGAAAATTTAAAAATACACTCAAACCTGTTTTGTGAAAACGCACAAAAGATATTCCGATACTTCATCAGTAGCTTTAAAAAATATTGTTCGCAACACATTTGAAAAAAGAATTTGTTTATACGGTGAATAGGGACCGCATAGAAAATAACTCAAAACCTCACGATGTAACTAGAAACTGCTTTTCCAAACAGGATAAAGGAATTAATTTACACATGGGAACATTTTTAAATATTTTATTTACTTATACATTATATATTAAGAATATATACAAGACGAGGAAAAATCGTCCATAGTTTCACCTAGCGTTGCATTCGGTACGATCGATCGTCTGGCAGAAGGAGGAATTGTTCACGCTTTTCCAACACCATACACGCTACCGGCCAAAGGTTCCGAATCACCTGCTAATTTACGTTAAAATTGAATCTGCTGCTAATTCTTTGTAGATTTGAAATTGACGTTGCGCAGATAGATAACGCTTTACCTTATTTCGATTGATTCGAACGAGGAAAAATTGTGTCCGAAAGTACTCTGACTCGGAGTAGGGTGGGCGTGAAGTGAATTAAACGTGTCTACGTTTTTACAATAGTATATTATATCCGCGTTATCTGAGCGTCGTTCGCAAAAAATGAAGAGCGAGGACGCGTCGTCTTGCCGAACCCTGTCCACCGCTACGCGAACAGGTCCAGGGAAAAACCCAGAGGGGCGAGTCG